AAGATCTAACTTTCTCCTTTGCATGAGAGGTTTTGTGTGATTTTTAAAAATATATATTTTATCACTCCTGCTAGCCTGAGAGCTCCTGAAGGACATTATCTGTGGTGGTGGTTTTTTTTTTCAACTTTGACTCTTTTTTACAAAATAGGAACTCAAAGTTGGTCATGAACCTAGACTTGGGAATGTGGATTAAGAATCCAGCCCTAACCTTTTTGAGCCAAGTGACCGTGGTTGGACTAGTTAAATTACCTCTTTAAGACTCCATTTCCACATGTGTAAATGAAACAAGAAAAAAATATCTGTCCCACAGAGCTGTTATAAGAACACAAAATAATTATGAAAATGTTTATATGATGCTTAGCATTGTACCTGGTACAGGGTAAAAGCTCAAGAAGTGGTAGCTTTGTACTTCTAAAACAGTGAGTGATGTTATTTATTTTACAGACCTCTTAGCACAGTACACAAGAATAGTCCCCTGTGAACACTCACTAACTTGAATTATCTTATTCCAGTTCAAATATATGCATATGAGCAAGATCCTATTCATGAAGACTGTATCACAGATATTTCTTTTGCAAGGCAGATTTTTGTTCTGCCCCAAATTCATAAAGAAACAGCAATTGAGGTTAAAAAGCTAGTGCTTAATCATATACCACCGTCTCCAGAGCTTATCAATTACTATACAAATGAGTCAAGTGACTCATTGTTGTTAAGTGTGTGTATATGTGTGTGTGTGTGTGGTGGTTAGGGTATTTAATTAAAGAAATAAAGAGAGAAATAGAAAAAGAATCCAGGCCTAGTTAAAAGTTAAACCCCTATTATTCTTTCTAAGCAGCGTTTGTGGTTGTTTCTTGGTTTAGATGGTGGTGGTTTTTAATTACCCGATACAAGAACACTCATCGAAGAAAGGAAGTCCCATTAAACTTCCCCAAGTCCACCTCTATAATTCAGGCAAATAGAGAAGGAAGGGCAGATCATGAATTTAAAGGATTGTAAAAAAAAAAAAGTCACTGTATTACCTTCAAATGCACAGGGGGATATCAGCTACCTCTCTACTAATTAAACAGACCCACATTGAAACTCTCTGGATAGAAATAATATAATGGGTTAGCATATTGAGCACACAATACTATACACCATTCCAGGGAGGCCGGGAGAACCCACCTCCTTTCCTGGTGAGAGAAACATGCAAACATCCAACTTCACTTTGAGACAAAATGAAGTAACACAAAAGGGAGGCGAAGGTAGCATGTTGTCTGAGCTTCCAGGACGGATCAATCATTGCAATTAGGAACAACTAATGTTCTTATCTAGAGGAAAGAACATTTCATCCGGGTTTTGAAGACTAAACTCACAGGGATAACTAGGGAACTCATCTTTGCTGAGAACTTACTGTGTGCCATATGCTCTATCTACTACCATATTTTACTTAATTTTTAAAGCAAAATAGTTATTCGTGTTGTGTTCTCCATATAGATATAAGGCACTTCTTCAGGTGCCCCATCACCAGAGGGCAGGGGTCTGGATTCTGATGTGGGCCTGCGATTGCCCCTCCCCTTGAGTCCCGGAGCTGCCGGATGGAATGCTGGAGGTCAGCTACCTGGGAAATGAGGTTAAAGTCACGGTGCCCGATTTTCTGTTATTGCAACCAAGCAATGAACGCGCAAAAGCCTTGGTAAGCAGTTCATGCCTGGAAGCCGATATGCTCACTGCCAATACTGCTTATACTACTCATTACCCAGTAGAGATGAACTGATTACAGCTAACGTATAGCTAATTTATGTAATTAATAAGGATCGTTGGGTGGAATTGAGGGAATCTCTCTCTCATCAGAGACAGTGTAAAGGTTAACCTTACCTCCGTTCAAGCCTAATTATAATAAATTATACAAAATACTGAATTACTCAGCGATCTAATGAGGTGTCCCCAGGCCTTGGATTAAGACACCAGGCCACCAGGTCCTAGCATATAGCTGCCATCCGTGGGAAAGGCCAGGGAAATACAAGCGAGCATTGTTGCAATGCGGTAGTAGAAACATCAGTGTGCTCAGAGAAAACAAACAAACAGAAAACAATGCGATGCCCTTCTCGAATGGAATGACTCCATACGTTATAGTTCCTCCATGTGGTGGGGTGGTGCAGTTATCCAACATTGCACTGCATGCTTCTTTGGGGTCTCCTCTGTGAGCTCCACCCCATCTCTCCAAGAGTCTTTGGTCTCTTCTCTAACTGATCTAATCTACTCTCACCCACGAGGTGACCTCATTCACTCTCACAGTTTTTAACACCACTCACCACTCAAAACCTCCACATTTCTCTCTCTATGCCCCTCTCCTGCACCCTAGATGTGTTTGTCCCACTGCCGGCTTCACATCTCGACTCTAATTCCCAAAAAGTACCTCAAATCTAACATGTCCCAAATTGAATTATTGATTTTGTCTGTGAGAGTATCATTTAACTATTTGGTGCATTGGCATGCTATGATATTATAATGAGAAAAATTATTCTGTTAAAATGTTGAGGGAAAGCAGAGAATCAGCTTTATATGAATACTACTATAAGAAATGAAAATGTAAAAGTAAGTAGGAAGAATTCTGAAAAAAAATCAGCAATATGCTAAAAGTAATGGTGCTAAAGTTATGGGATCAAAAGTAATTTTTTTCCTTCTTATTCATTTCTAAATGTTCTACTATATGGATTACTTTATTACATTTTATAATGAAAATGTGAGTGTTTGTGTGTGTTTAATCATTTAAATGTTTAAGAGGACATTGTTCTTCGAATAGAAACAATACTTTATGTTCTTTCAATTACTGGGTCCATGCACTACAGGCAAATTAGGAACAGAGTTCTTTGAACAAGAACATGATAATAAAAGATTAGCAGACAATTTTCCTACATTGATGTGGATCAGCCATGCAGTCAACTCAGTTGGCAGCCAAAAGCCCAAACATACAGACTCGGGAATTTTTTTAATCACATAAATATAGCTATTGGTATACTCAATGATGTGAATTGCTGGGCATGCTCAGAGGCCCTCAGAATAATGCTATATTATTTTGCTTTCCGGTGAGGTCAAGATGCTATTCTCAAGAAAAGGGCTAGAATAGCCACATCGTTCAAGAACATTCATTTATAGATTCAGAGAAGCTGGTTGGCTTTGGCCAAGCTACTTACCATCACGGGTCTCAGTCTTCTCATCTATAAAATGGGAAAGTAAGAAAGAAAAAATGGAAGAAAGAGAAGAACAGAGGGAGGAATGTCTTCCATCTGATCAGGTTGTTATATGCATTAAATGTTATAACAATTTAGCAAAAGATTTGGTTTATAATACATGCTCAAAAATCCAGTCCTTTATCCATTCAAATTGGCATATATTAAAAACTTAGCATGTGCCAGGCCTGTGCTAGGTGACATGGATATAACCGTGGACAAGGCTCATTCCCCTATTCTAAAGAGGAGTCTACGCTGGTAGGAGAGTCCAAGAAATAAAAGACGATTAAAAACCTGTAGGAAATGCACCAGGTGTGCAGAAAGCACGGTGCTGTGACAGCACAGAGGAGGGCAGGATGGTACAGGACAAATAACCCCTACGTACACTAAAGGGTGTTTTTAATATCAACAATAACGAATGTCCATTAAATGCTAGTCACTGTTCAGAGCTTTTCAAAACTTTCCACTTGCATTATCTCATTGATTCTATTCGATGATGAATATCCCTATTTTCAGACAATTGAGACACAGAGTGGTTAAGCAACTTTCCTAGAATCACACAGCTACTCATCACTGGAACCAAGAACTAACTTTCCCAGCCACTATGCACACCGCCTCCTGGCTATCGTGCTTATGAAGTGAAGCAAAGTGTATTAGACCATCACCTGCCACCTAGCAACTCCCCAGTACATGTTAGCTAGTCTTAGCAATAGCAGTAGTAACAACAGCAGTGAGAGTAATAGCAAAAGTTGTCGTGAGTAGTACCAGTAGTAACAGTCATAGCAGTGGCAGTAATAACAGTAGTAGCAGCAGCAAAATGCAAGGCACTCTGCAAATGCTGGCCCTTATTGCTAGACTGGGCTTAGCAGCCTTCTAAGAAGCAAGGGAAAAAGTGCCCTTGAACTCCCGTGTCTCAGGGCTCCATTTCTTGGTACAGAAGAAAGACTTCCATACATAATAGAGCTGGTGATTTAGAATAAAATCTTCTGAAGTTTCAAAGTGAATAGTTGAATTTCCAATAACCAAACAACCTAGGAAAATGTCACTTTTTAGGGTTAGTGACAAAGGGACAACAGAGTGAAGTCTCATGGGCACACTTAGCATCAGGGGGCGCTCTAACAAGCACTTCACAAGGATGAGGCCATTTCTTCCGTAGGACTGCTATGTACTATCCCCTTTCCACACAGGAGAAGACAGAGGGTCAGAAACAGTAAACCATTTGCTCAAGATCACACACCTAGTAGGAGCAAAGCCAGGGTTTTAACCCAGAGGCATTAGCTCAGCTCACCTGGCTGCTGGGATGAGGGTGAAGGGCAACGCAGGCTGAGAGGGGCTCGGACTTGGACAAGAAAAGAGGGAAGGGCAGGGCGCACTGGAGAGAGGAGCAGCAGAACAGAAGTTTGGGTGGGGATGAGTGTGCTGAGGCTGAGGGCAGTGAGGAGCGAGCTGGCCAGCTGTCAGGCGTGAGCCGGGGCCCTGCCCGCCCAGAGCTCCCCACCCAAGAAAAACCACAGCCAAGACCCACACTTGTTTAGAATGTCTTGTTTTTAAGTTGTGTTTTGTTTTTGTTATGTGGACAGAGGTTTACAAGACCGAGATCGGAACACTGAGGGAAAACAGCTTTTGTTTTTGATTTTGGTTTCTTCCAAAATGCACCCAAAGTAATAAAAACATTTGTAAATGTTACTTGGATTTGGAACGATATTTGGGGCCACATTTATACACCAATTTGAATTCTCGTCCTAATGAAACCCCTCTAGAATTAGTTCTGACGCAAAACAACCATCATAGCCTTAGAATGGTAGTCATTTATTCAATCAACAAACACCCTGTTTCAGACCATTGGCTCAGCAATGTAGACATGGCAGCGAACACCAAGAGTCACAATCCTTGCTCCGTGGATTTCACACTCTTTCTAGTTGGAAGAGATGGGCAATAAATACAAAACCAAATCAATAAGATAATATCAGACGGAGACACACACATGGGCAATGGATGTGGCAGTTACATCATAAGGGTGATTCTTTGATGTTTTTTATTGGAAGTGACATGAAGGAGAGCGATTCAGGGGGAGGATTTACACTAAGTTGGGTGGACAGGGTTAGCCATGAGAAAGTTATGCTTGGACTGAGAAGGAAGCATAAGAAGGAGCCCCAGGCAGCCCTGAGGCCAAAGGGAGCCAGTGGGAGGAACTAGCAAGAGCAAAGCTCCCAACACTGATGAAAAGTTGGGGTGTTAGAGGAACATAAAGAACCCGGTGTGGCTTGAAGTAGGAGATGATATCCAGAACGGACTCAGGGTCCAGATCTGGAGGAATGCCACAGGCTTGGTGTAAGGAATGCGGGTTTTACTTTAAGTGTCGTATTTGAGGATGTTACACAGATCAGAGATGGAGCGTATTTTCATTGGGGAAAACATCTGCTCGGTAACTGTGTAGAGAGCAGATTGGAGGGGGGGCAAAGGAAGATGACAACCAGTTAGGAAGGTAATAGAGGGGTCAAGGTGGGTGAGGATGGGGCGTTGACTAGGAAGGTTTTGGTTTATTTGGAGCAAAGCACATGGATTTGGAAAATGTTTTCAAGATGGAGGTAAGAGGTCTCAGTGAAGAGGAGCTGTGGGGCATAAGGGGTTTGGTGAAATCCAGGAAGATCCCTCAGTTTTGGCTTAAGGAACTGAATACATGAGAGTGTCCGTCAATAAAATGTGGAGGTTGGGGGAAGAACAAGCTTCGGGAGGTTTGGGGAATGGAATTCAAAGGTTCTGTTTGGACATAAAAGGTTAGAAATGGTTATTAGACATCCCCCACCTTGGGAGAGAGAAGAGGAGGAAAGGGCTCAAACCATCTCAAAATGGACACCATGAGCCTCAGTTTCCTCATTTATGAAATAACAAACACCTCACAGGCTAGTTTTACAAACGGAATTAAATTCTATTTATAAAAGTCTCCAAACTGTCTGACCCCCAGTCCCTGGTCCATTGCAGTGCCACACCAAGGTCCCATTAAGGCCAATGTCACAAAGGTTAGAATTTCTCAAGAGACAAGGTTAATTAATTGATTTGCTAAGCCAAGATCCTTGGTCCTGTGGTCCCCAACCACACTGCTTTCCTTCTCCTTATCCCTCCTGGACCAACTCCATCTCCAACATGTCTTTATAGAGCACACAACAGTTGCAATACATTTGGGTTATTTCCCAGGGGCTGCTGAATCCAGGTCCTCAGGAAAGAAAAGATCTTCAAGAGTTATGTCCTGGTGACACATGACCCCCCGGGAGTCATAATTGGCATGGGCCGAGCCCTGTTACAAAATGTTAAGTCAAGTGACAGCTAATTGCCATTGGCTGGAATAAGTCATGGCTTCCCTTAGAGCCCTGGGTTGGTGCCCAGTAGGGTGAGTGGCAGGCAAAGGAGTCAGTCAGTGGGTACTTGAGGGCACCAACAGGCTTGCATCATTAACTGCCCTCTCTGCTACATTCCATTATCCAAAAAAAGAGGGTGACAGAGTATGCAATAATAATAGCTAACATTTATTGAGTGCCTACTCTGTACCAAATACTTGGGCAAGTCCTTTCCATGCATTATCTTATTTAGTCCTTCTGGCAATCGATCAGACACAGCTGGGTTCATTTTGTAGCTCTAGGACTCAGTAGCTTTGTGATCTTGGGCAAGTTATTTAGGCTCTCCATGCCTCATTTGTCTTAAAGTAAAAAAAAAAGTATCTTCCTTGTAGAGTTAAATGTGAAAATGCATGTAAAACTCTTAACAGAGCTCTTGGGGAATAGTAGTCAAAGAAAGTTAAAGTTTTGATCCCTGGAAAAGATGATTCCTTAAGCCACCATTAGTTTAGTGAATATGAGGGGTCAGAATACAGATTGGATAATACCCAGAGATAAATTCTCCCACCAGCTCTTGGAGAAAAAAATAAATAAACTGTGAGAAGCAGCCCCCATGGTCCTGGTGTCCAGTTCTCTGGAAATTCTCCACAATGGCCAACGCATAGAGATGTCTTGTCCACCGTAGGTTTTCCAGCAAGTCTCATTAGAGCGAATGACACCATGTTCCAGACACCCCTGGGCTTCGAGAGTCATCACAGTGCTCGACGATATTCAACCCTGCGAGGCCTGGGGTGCGTGCTTCCTGCACAAGAGCCTTGCAGTCTTCAGAACGTTACATCATAAGGGTGTCAGAGAGGGGATGACATCACAGTCTTCATTTTCCTGTTAATTAGAAGATGCATTAACTATCCATGTTCTTCCACCACAAAGCCCTCAGATATAACTGGGGGTTGGGCAGGAGATCGGCCGCCTCAGACACCCTCTGAAAGGAACAGAAACCCTGGAGGTTAGAGTTAAGGAGTGACGTCACACTCCAGTTTTCATATCCCTGACGATGGTACCTAACCAGGGGCTCAGATAAACCTCATCATTTGACAAGTTAAAGCTGAAGATCCAAACCCAGCACACATTTCAAAGTGTTCTGTGGGTCCTTCAATACTCGTGACTTTTATTTCTTCAGGTTATTAAATCTACTATGAACAAGGCATTGTGATAGATATTGAGAGGCAAAAGGGCCTACTCATCAGTCTTGCTTGGCCAGTAGGATCGTGGGCAGTGGAAATGGCTTGTTGGCCTGGCTTCTCTTTCATATCCTTCTGCAGAGGTGAACTGAGTCTCCAGATGGACATGTCTCACCTCTCCCCAGGCCCTCCCATGACCCTCCTTCTGGGACTACTCATTCAAAGGCTGGTGGAATAGGCCTTCGGGGATATTGACAGTTGCTTTAGCTGTCACTCAGTTCAATGTCAAAGTATACAGTTACTCCCTCTTCTTAGCTCAAACCTCACCATTATTTGGCAAATGTAAAGTTGATCTCTGGCAATTACTTAGTTTCACTGACGTCTTTACTAATATTTGATTCTTTGATGTTTTCATTGGGAGTTGATGGAAAGCAAAGAATCTCCCGAAACCCCTATTCTGCCATCTTCAAACCAATTTTCTCATTTTCCAGTGAAGGAAACCGGTCCAGAGATATAGTCAGAGTCAAGACACCCTGAGAAGCAGTGATGTGCCAAATTCTTATCTCTTGGCTCCAACCTTATGCGGGATAGCAAAGTCTCTGGGCAGGAGGGCTCCCTGGCTTGATGCTATGATGATAACCTGAGGAGGGGAAATGTTGTGTTGGAAGAGTATTGCCTCCAGCCATTTCTCACTGTCTCCTTGCTAACTCCAAGAGAGCTCATCTGGTCTCAAAAACTTGGAAATGTAGTTTGGTCAGCAAGTTCATTACATGTAATTTACTATCTCATTCCGTGTGCAGAATCAAATTTGGTGAGAGAATTAGAAGGAGCTGTGGTTTCCCAGTCAATTAACATTTATTAAGATCCATCTGTAAGATAAATTGTAAGGTAAGTGGATTCATTTATTCACTCAATATGGTTCATGCCCTTTTCACATGGCAGAGGCAGCGACATGTGGCAGCCTCAGAACTCGAGCTTGAGAGCCGAGAAGCTTTGGGTTGCCCCTGGGTTTACTTACCAGCTGTGTGGTTTGGGATAAATTCCCTCATCTTTAGGGGTTGGATTTTCCTCTACATTAAAATGAGGGCAAACGTTTCTACTGGACAGCCCTTTTAAAATAAAATGACGTAGGTTAAGTAATTCACATGGCACTTGGCACATTGCCTGAAAATTACAAGTAATAACAGTACGTGCTAGGTTATGGTTGGATGAGAGTATTCGAGATGAGCAGGCTACCTCCTGTCGTACTTAGGAAAACACTTGAGACATTTTTCAGATGTTTATTTTGCACCCGAAACACTGATTTGTTAGTAAAAGGGCCGAGTGTTTGCATGGTCCTCTTGGGCCAACACACCTTGACACAGATGCTTCACTCTTGAATCTGCTTGGTCTTACAATTTTCGTCTTATTCCTAAAACAGATTCTGACCAGGCCAGGGAGTTTCCTGTAAATCACTCAAAATAAGGACTTTTTTTGGACATCATTTGCGTCTTCATCTTCTTTTGGTTTAACGTGGAATTTGAACTTCCAGTCCATGGGATTGGACTCTGGTAATGTTTTTCTAATACGTACATCCTACAATGAATTTATATCACATGTGAGAAAGATCACCTCTTCCAACCCAGCCAGCCAACAGTGAAGAGAAAGTAAAATGAGGTAAATGGATTATTCATGTGAAAAATCAGGTTAATATATATAATAAAATAAGATGTGTGATAAATATATTTTCATATTTTTTCTTTTTTATGTGTATACTTATATAGTCAAAACCCTTCAAAAATATACATCCAACTATCGGTAGTGGTAAACTGTAGAAAGTGGGACTATATATTATTTCTTCTCTTTGTATGTGTGTGTCTTTTCAGAAAAGAGTACAGCAGGCCTATGTTGTTCATGCAATAAGGTAAATAGCACAGTTAAAATTAGGTTAAAAATCATACTTATCATAGTACCTGGCAAATTGTAGGTGCTCAGTGAATGTTTAATGATTGAATGAATGGCCCACAATCTGGGCAATTCCTAATACCTTAACATTTCAGCTGCCCTGGCCTATCCACCACTCTAGCTCAACCACTAGATAATCCCTCCAGTATAACAAGAGAAAAGGGAAAAAGGAGGAAGATGGAGAAAGAAGATTTGGGAATAAGGGGTGGTGAGGGACAAGTTACACCACTTGGTCATGGAATGTTGCACATAGAAGGCAAGCTATGAAAAGGGGACTCAGATTTCTTGGCACTATGTAGGCACTTCACGAAGAACACAGCCCCCACTCCTTTGCAACTCCCAGCAGGCAGGAATCAACCTGACCTGTGACAAATGCAATTAGAGGCAATGATTTGAATCAAGGCCTCCTGACTCCGGTTCAGCACTCCTTATGATAAAGAGACACATCTACAAAATATGTGTACACATGCAAATTCCATTTAACTTGGGGGTTTTGAAGGGTTAGGGGAAATAGGAAAGATAGAGAAGAACCAGAACATTGAAGGAAAAAGAACTTAAGGGGCCTATTTATGAGCCCCTGTTAAATATTTACAACCTCAAGTCAAATAAGATTTATGAATGGCAGACACGCTTTTAGGACCTACAAGAGAATCAGTCCATGAAGAAGAAAGAAGTCACTCACCCAGTGCAGAAACTGCCTCATCAGACCAGACAAGTCAGCAGGGAGAAATTCAGCAGCAATCTGTGGGAAGAAATTTTCCATTGTATATTTAGGATGTCATTCATTGCTCTGCCTGGTTCTTGTGTTCAAAGGAATGTCGCAGAGTCTATTTCTCTTTCCTACATCCTTGGATTTTTGCCCTCTCCCCACCCCCACCCCCACCAAACCTCTACAATGGAAGACAGAAATTAACTGACTCTATTATTTACTCCAACTGTCCCCCCCCAAAGTGCACCTCCATATGCCAAAGGGATGATTTCAATGTAGACCACTGATGCCCCTGGATAACTTAGTGTGCAATCGAATGGGGAAGGAGCATTGTGTCGCCTATATGGCAATTCTCCACTTAAAGGCAATCCCTTCTTTCAGATCATCCTTTTACTTTCAACTCGGAAACAGAACCTGTAGGTTAGCCAGTATCTCAACATCTTCACAGATCTTATCTAGAGGCCAGGATGAGTTCTCGCTGCCTTTCACACCCTCCTTGCCCACAATGGCTTAAATGATAAATAAACGCTCAATGTGTGATTGAAGATTTACATTTCAACAGAGACAAGGGCCAGACACTGAGGTGACACCATTCCTGTCCTTCACTGAGGGCATTGCTTCTCTGGCTGGGAAAGGTTTGGGAAGGACCATAAGAAGCTTGGGGTCCCTCCATCCCACCTCCTTGACCTCGTCTTTTCCCGTGTTGTCGCTGACTGACTCTTAATCTGAGAGAGAATTTTGTCTTTATTGAGTGTAAAAAAACCCCAACACTTTGGTTCCCTGTAAGTGAACTCATCATAAACATCAGTTAATTTGGCTTTTGATCTTAATTTTATTATTAAGTGATTAGAACATTACTTAAGGTATTATTAGCTGATATCATAAACAAATTTCAAAAATAATTTTATTTTTAGCATTTTTGAGAGAGAGAGATCAGTTTATTGCTCCATTTATTTATGCATTCATTGGTTGATTCTTGTGTGTGCCCTGACCTGGGATCAAATCTGAAACCTTGATGTAACTCCTCAAGATGATACTCTAACCAACTGAGCTGCTGGCCATGGACAGCTAAGGGCAATTTAATAGTGATATTATAGTATTCATTATCTTAATGAACCCCTATTTGCCATATATTCCACTTCAGACTAAAATAGATGCCTCATGAGAGAAAGAGAGGGAGAGGGCGAGGAAGAGAGAGAGTGAATGAGATAGAGAGAGGAAGGAGGAAGGAGATAAAAGGAAAACAGTTGCCCTCTGTGTTTTCTCCATCAACTGTCTCTGGACCACACGTGGCTTTTAAATCAGTCTCCTCTGCTCTAATTGCAAGGACTCAAGGTAGCTCCGAGTGAGGACACCCAAGAGGATTTGAAACCAGGTTACAACTCTCTTCAGTAATTTGATTCTGTACAAATTATCTTTAACTTCTGCAAGGAGAGATCCAGCCCTCAGGGGAATGCGGATTTGTTTAGGGTTGTGGGGAGGCATTGTTTTTTCCAGTTTTAAAAATAGCTTTCATGAATGTAGTAGGCATGAAAGAAACGCTTCTGGCAGAAAAACACCTAGCGCTAAGCAATGCTGAATTGTTCTTCATGCTGTAAGGTGCAGTGTGAGAGACAAATGGATGATGCCTGGTGTCGGGCATGTCTGCCTCAAATCGCGTACACATATGGCCTTGTCCCTTCGGTCTCAGCCATCGCCTGAGAAATGCTAACACTGAGGCACAGTTTTCTCTGTTATATATTTTTAAAGTCTCACGTGAGTTTGATAAGGATAAGTTAACTAGATGCACTCGCACATTGCTAATGAATTTAATTTGGGAAGCAGTTTCACCGACAATTTTATCGAGGTTCAATGTGTTCATATTTTCGAAACCAGTGATTGAATTTCTCACTTCATTTCAAAGGAAATGCTCTTAATTTCAGAAAAAAAAAGTCCTACACATAAGTTGTAAAGCTATTTATGACTGCAAAAGCCCACAATGAGATTGGTTAAATCGAGCTGGCATATAGACTATACTGAAATTATGCTTCAGCACCTATGCAAATCATTACAGATTGCAGGTTAGTAGCTCATAACTACTGATTTCTGTAGATCTCTAGTGTCAAAGAAATTGTGAGATTGGTCCTTAGATTTAAGTGAACACATTAGTATGTGCTAGAATATTGTATTTCTTGTTCTATGTTTGGGACATTTTAATGCCTTTACATGTAGGAATGAACTGAAATTGAACTTAGGTACCACTCTGAAAATGATTTCATTTTGCACTAATTGCAGACAGCCTTAAAATATAATGTTAAGTGAAAAAGCAGAAAAGAAAATTGTTGGGACAATCTGGTAACAAACATGAAACAAAAAAATAAAAGAAAAATGAAAATTTTGAATAGAAAACATTCTATTTTCCCCATTTTTCTCCCTCTTTTCAAAATCTCAACAACAACAAAAATAAACTTTTCTTTGATGAAGAAGAAAAAGGTATATATATTTGAAAATAATTGCCTCTTAGGTCCACACCTTCTCATACCTCAACTGTTACTCCCAAATTGTAATAATCTTTTAGGTGACATGAAGTCTGACGTTAGCCATGTGTCTGCCATAAATTTCTTTCTTAAAAAATATATTTTTATTGATTTCAGAGAGGAAGAAAGAGGGAGAGAGAGATAGAAACATCAGTGATACGAGAGAATCACTGATTGGCTGCCTCCTGCACACCCCCTACTGGGGATTGAGCCTGCAACCCAGGCATGTGCCCATGACCGGAAATGAACCCGGGACCCTGCAATCCGCAGGCCGACACTCTATCCACTGAGCACACTGGCTAGGAACTCAGTGGAACTCATTGATTCCCAGGAGTGGTGGAGCCCTCAGAAGGACAGATGGGTACGCAGCCAACCAAGCGCCCCCGTGTTCACATCCACTCCCTATGGAGCTGGGATGGTGAAGCTGACCATCCATTTGGAAAAGGGAGGCAAGCTAGACCTTCATTCCTCCTCCACTCCGCAGCGCTCCTTCCCCCAGGCTCTGGGAATTGCCTCCGACTGAGGACATGCGGGGCAGCAGAGGGTCAGGAGCTGCCTGTCCCTCCTGTAACTTGCACGCACCGCTGTCACAAAGGCCTACGCCACCACGAGGCAGGCTGAGTCAGTCTTGTTGCCAATAATCTCCCTATTGCTCTTGTGGGCAGAATGCGGTTTTGTTTCTCTTTCGGTGACAATAGCATGAGCCCATCTTTGGTTAGGGCCTTCTGCATCATTCTGAGAGAACAATTCCTTCCTCTCTTGCATTGACTCACATTCTTGGCTGCCGTATTGTAAAGGCAGCAGTCCCTGGATCCTGCTCGGCTGGGCATGCAGGAGCCCCTTTGCTCCCAGGGCTCTGAGGAAGGAGACTTGCTGGCAGGTAGTGCTGGCCTGTGTTCCCACTCCAGCCCCAAGTCCTATCACCTCCCAAAAGTTCAGATACAGGGTTGGGTTGGAGGAGGTGCAGTGCAAGCTTGCCACGTCACCTCGTTATGCCCTCAGAACCTGCTAAGGGCCCGCAGTACATTCGCTGCCAGCAATGTAACAGCAGACATGCCGGCGACAACTCCAATAAGGCCCAGGAGTTACAGGAATGCCTCGCAGGAAGACAGCCTTCAGTCTAAGGCTGTGGTTCTCCACCAGGGGACAGTGAGCTGTGTCTGAATACTTGTTCGGATGTTGCAACCTGGAGGGAGGCGAAGACATACACAGGAGTGCTGCTGATATAGAACAGATAAGAGCTGGGGTGCTGCTAAACACCGTGCAATGTCAAGAGTGTCAAAGGAGAAAGCCTGGTGGTTTTCAAGCTTAAGCAGCCAAAGAATCACCTGGAGCACTGGGCCCCCTGCCCAGAGATTCGGATTCTGGGGTGAGACCCAAGAATGTGCATTGCCCACAAGTTGCCAGGTGCTATTGCTGTTTGCTGGTCCAGGGACCGTGATGGAGAACTCCTGGTCTGAAGTGTCAGTGAAGGCATCCCCAAGAGAATGATGTGTGAAGGTTTAGCAGGAGTGAGCTGGAGTGAAAGGAAAAGATAAGCCTTTGAAGGTACTTTGTGCAAAAGCCCAGAGAAGGGAGGCATTGGCATGTTCGAGGACCTGAAATAGTGGAGCACTGGGTCATGGGGTGGAATGAAGCTGAAGAGGGAGCCAGAGGCAGAAGGGGCCAGAGTAGAAGTAGGTCTTTCATCTAAAGCAGTGGAAAGGCACTGAAGAGGTTTCAACAGGGGATTTGGTGAAACTTGAGCAGGCCATGGGGGTGGAGAATAGAGTAGGGCATGATGCTTACAGTTTAATATAATAAAAGAGCATGGCCTTTGGAGCCAGACAGTCTTGGATCATAATCCTTGCCAGGCCTCTTACTAGTTATATGATCAAGGGCAAATTATTTGACTTCCATGGGCCTCAGTTTTCCCATCTGTAAAATGTGGCCATTCATGCCCCCTTCATTGGATTGTTTTGAAAATAAATGAGATCATGTTCATAAAAGTGTCTGGCACACAGAAAGGCTCAACGAATGTTAATTCTCTCCCATTAAGTGTCAATGATGAAAGGACCAGGGGCTCCTCCACCACCTAATTTACATCTCAAAGAGCACACAGCAAAGCATGATGTCAGCAACCAGGTCTGACCAAAGAGCGTTTGCATCACCTGTGTGCCAAACCCGAGGCAGGGCCTGCTGCTGGCACGTTCAAGGGCAAATTAGGCAACCACCAGCCCACACAAAAATGCTGCAAAGCTAATGCTAGGTTTGCAGATACCATCACAGGGCTCAGGCCAAGGTTACCTAATCTATTACTGGTTGGATACTTCAGAGACTCTTTAACCATACCCCTTATTGTTTTGTAACGTGACAATGGGGAGGAGGCACAGAGCTCAGAACCACAATAAGTAATACTTAGCACTTAAATAACCTTTGCCATCTTCAAAGCCATTTACAAACACTCACAAATTAAGACTTACACAGCCACCGCCTTGGGAAAGTGTCATTATCTTTGTTTCTTCAACACAACAAGGAGGATGAGGTCATGGAGTTGCCAAACTCTGGCCAGTTGGCTTAAGAACAGCCTGATTTCATTCT